TAGATGAACAGAACCTTGAAGCTACAATGAAGTGAACTGTGCCGGGAGACCCACCTGCGCTGGGACCAGGTGTTGCCAGTAGCCTTGTTAAGAGTCAGGTGCAGCCCCAATAAGCAAACGGGGCTTTCCCCTTATGGAATCCTTTATGGGCGCCCTCCCCCAATTATTAAAGGGATAAGAGGAGATTTAAATGAGATAGGCAATTTAACCCTAAGGCAGCAATGCAGGCTCTGGGCTCTACTCTAGCCACTCTACACCGATGGGTTAAAGAACGGTTGCCTGTGAGTCTGACCACAGATGCTCACTCCTTTGAGCCAGGAGATGCTGTATGGGTAAATGAGTGGAATGTCCAACCACTCAAACCCCTTTGGAGGGGCTGGTTTACTGTCATTTTGTCCATCCCCACTGCAGTAAAAGTAGCCAAGGTGGGTCCCTGGCTTCACCACAGCAGAGCGAAGCCGGCATCCGGGCACTGGGAGTGCGTTCCTGATCCGCCCACGCCGTGTGAGCTGACCAGACGGGAGAAGCGAGCTGCCACGGCGGAGACTCCAACGGGAGACAACAGCCCTGCGTCAGTCACTCCGGAAGCTGATTCATCTACGCACGGCGGAAGCTTGAGGAATCGCCAGTCCGGTGAAATAAATAGACTGTCCTTATTTCCTACATCTGCCTCTTACTGTAATGCACTGTCACCCCTGTCTCACTATTATTGCAACTTTTGCTTTACTTCTTGCTATTGGATCGGCGGAGCTTGCCCCAGCTGGTCAGGGTCACGTGTGCTGGGGCCCATCCTTCTTCCTACTCCCACTTGCAGAAGGAGAACATCTGGGAGTTCAAATGTAGGGAGATAGGAAAGTTCAAAGAAAGTGGCGTCCCTTGCAAATTGTGAACTGGAAAGATGATGAATGGCCTCCCGAGCGGATAAGTCATTATTATGGCCCTGCTACCTGGGCCGAGGATGGGTCTCGGGGCTACCGCACCCCCATTTATATGCTAAACCACATAATTTGGCTACAAGCAGTTGCAGAAATTATAACCAATGAAACTTACTAGCTAAGCAGCAAACCCAAATGTGCGATGCCATCTACCAAAATCGCCTGGCCTTAGATCACCTGCTTGCTTCTGAGGGTGGTGCTTGTGGAAAATTCAACCTGAGCAACCGCTGCCTACAGACAGATGATGAGGGAAAAGTCCTAGAGGAGACCACAGATCGAATGAGAACGGTTGCTCTTGTCCCAGTCCAGACCCGGAACGGTTGGAGCCCCAGGGAGTTATTTGGAGGATGGTTTTCGGGGGATTCAAAGCCCTCACAGGTCTTGTCCTCCTAACTCTGGGAGGATGCTTGCTCGTACCCTGCTTGGCTCCCTTGATTATACGATCAGTCTCCAGTCTCATTGAGACTATGGTTGAGAGAAAAACGGCTGCTCATGTAATGATGTTATGGAAATATAAACCTCTAAGCCAGGATGATGCTCTTTGACCCAAAATAGAGGGGTCCGAGCATCAAAGGGGGGAATGTGGTAGGAACCCCTCCCTAAGGAGAGAGAAAAAAATGAAGAAGAGAGGAGAGAAGACTTCAAGGTCACCTAGATATGGGTCCAGGTGCCTACATCCCCCATGTTCTTGTAAACTTAATCAGACTGCATGTTTATGTGTGTCACCATATATGGGAGACAAAGAAATAGAAAATGTATTAAAAAAACTATGCCACGTGATGTGGGCCGCTCAGTTCTTTGGGTACGAACCCAACTGAGCGGTGCCGGCCCGAATGAAGTTGCTTCCTGGGAAGAACAGCCTCGGTGTCACGACTCTCTGAGAGAATCCTGCAACAGCCTACAGTGACTACTCACGACACATGATCCTCACGCAGACACCACTCCCTGCATTCCCCACCTGATCCACACCGACCCACAGAGCTGGGGACAGCACTACGCCCCTACTCAGCAGAAAGGAGCTGCAGGAGATGAGACCTTCCACCTTCAACAACCTGAAACATTTGAGGGTCAAAATTCTTCAGGGGGGATATGGTGACGGAGCATGGGGTGAGCTGAGGGCAAAATACAAGCTAGCACCCCCCTCCCCGACCCGGTGACATTCTTCAGACACTCCTGGCCGCCCAAGAACAAAGGAAAGGGGGTTAAGTGCTTGCCATGGCGATGGGGGAAACTAAGGCAAATGAAACATTAAATTCCCTTACTGCCTAGTCTATTGATTAGTCCTTGAAACTGGCAGAGTGACCTCCCTCTAGGAGCTTAGCTGCCTTGATGACGACATTTTGCTGGGGGCAAAAGGGAACCTTGGCTTAACATTTTCTGACTCCCCCCCCCCCCCCACCTGCCGCCTGGATCCTGTAAGTCTACTCTCACGTATAAAAATTCCTTTGGAAACTTGCTTTATTTCCACTGCCCCAGGACATATGCCCGCAATCATACTCCCAGCTTACGCCCCCGATATGCACCTGAAGGGTCTCATGAGTGAGGTTTATGAAACGGTAATAAATGGCGTTTCCCCAGCAACACCAGCCCCTCAAGGTCCTGGAAACCTTGCTTCCAAAGCACCTTAGAGACTTACTCTACCCCTGACCCCCTCCCGACCGGCGGGTTCGTAACGAGGTACTTGCCACACCCCAGGGCAGCTCTTCCTCCCACGGGTCCCGTCCCCGGGCTTTAACAAAATCACCTTTTTGCACCAAGACCGTCCTCAAGAATTCTTCCTTGGCCGCGGGCTCCGCACCACTCCGCCGTCACCCCGCACCTCATCGACCGACACTGCTCAGTCAGCACCGAGGAGAGCGGGTGCCGGGGGCACGGCCACCCTTTCCCGCCGCGCAGGGGCCGCCCGCCCCCGGCCTGGGCCCGGGGAAGGCCCTGCACGCGCACCACAGCCCTTCACCCCTCGGACGGACTGCGATACGCCTCCAGGGCAGCGAAGGGCGTCACGAGGGCACGTTTTCTCCAGCGAAGGCTGTGAGACGGGGGAGGTGGGCGCGCGTCCTCTGCTGCTCGGGGAGGGGGCGCACCCCTCCCGGGAGGGCAGGCGGGGAGGCTCCGGTGGGTTATGTGCTCGCGCCTGTCTCCCCCTGCAGGCACGTGCTGGTACTGCTGCTCATGCCCCCGTGTGCGCGCGCACCCAGCGGAGGCTCGCGCCCGCGCGCGTGGTCCCGGGGCTCCTCTTCCTCCTGCGCGTCTCACCCGCTCCCTGCCTCACCCACCCCTCAGCCTCTCTGCCCTCCCCCTCTCCGCGAGGCTCGCCCCCCACACCCCTGCCTCCTGCCTCAGACCGGGAGTTGACCCCCCTCTGCGCTGCTGACCCAGGAGCCTGGGCAGCCGGGGGGTGGGGTGGGGGGGGCGGGGGGGGCGGGGCGCGGGCACAGGGGACCGCCCGGGGGGGCGGGGGGCGCCCTGGGGACCAGGGAGGCACCGGCACTTCACAGCGGGCCCAGGCGCCGCTTCCGCAGCTCGGATCGAGTTCATGTGCACTTGACATTCCATGTCCTTTACAGTCGGGACGCTTCCGTCACTTAGGCAACTCGATTTCCTCTAAGAAAGGCCCATAAGCCTCCTGAAAAGTACGTGTCGTTAACCAGGCTTCTGTGGTGCCTTCCAGACGGCTGCGAAATCAGCAACAGCGGCTTTCGATTAGATTTTTAAAATAAAAAACAGAGTGGAGCGAGAGGGAACTGGGAGGATAGAAAATACTGAGTGCCCCACATTGGGAGGATTTATATATACCGGTTATAACGTGTACATACAGGATTTGGGTCCAAAATATGGAAAAGTGCGCTCACTAAGGCACCAGCCTCCCGGGGGGGTGGGGAGGCTCCTGGCCCCCCAGGAAGGGGCAGGGCTGCGGCCTGAATCCCACCAGAGAGAATCCTCCGGGCCCAGGCTAAGGCCTGGCTCTGGGGGTGTCGGGAACTCAAGGGAGCCCCTTCCCCTTGCCAGACCCAAAGCCCTGAGCTGTGTGAACGGTTCAAAGGGCCGCCAGGCCCCAAGCGAGTAAGTGCGGTTTGGACGAAGCCAGTTTTCAAAGGCCTCCCGTCTTGTGTCCCTTCCCGCGGGGGCATCCCGGGAAGTCCTTTCAAGAGAGCACCCGCGGGAGTGTTTACAGCCACCAGCTCATCCTGCCCTCCCTTCCCGCAGGCGGCGGGGCTGGGGGACCCCTCCCCTCCCCACTCCTCCCGCCCGCCTCTCCCTTCCCTTCTCTTCCCGGGAGGGAGAGGAGTCACCTGAGGGGCAGAGCGGCAGGCGGGGGCAGGGTGTGGGGAGAGGGGCGGGGGCAGAGCTGGCGCATTCGGGCCCCCAGGAAGCCGCCCTCTCTTGGAAGGGCGGACTCCATCCTTACCTCCTGGGCTGAGGGCAGCCCAGCTCCCCCCCTTTCCCACTTGGTACGCGCCCGCGGGGTGAGTTTCCAGCGTTTCCTGGCAGAGATTTTACAGAGGCGAGTCTGCAAGAGGTGACGGGCTTCCTGGGCTCCCGCTGCCGCCCTGCACAGAGCCAGCCTGGAGGAAGACAGGGCGCCGAGGCCAGGCCATCACAGCCCAGGAAGCCTCCTCCTACAGGCAGCCCCCCCTGGTGGCCCCAAGGCCTCTAGGCTCATGCGGAAGCCAAAGCTGGAGCGAGGCTCTGTCTGTGTGAGAGGCTCGCCCAGCCGCCAGCTGCCCCGGCTCCCAGGGACCACAGGTGGCTTGTTCCTGTCCCCCGGTCGGGCTGGCAGCGGCCGGTCCTCGCCTGCCAGGTGGAGCTGGAGAAGCTGGGCCACACACACCCTCCCACCTAAGTGGGCCCCCAGCACCCACCAGCCAGAGCCGCAGGGAGCTGGACAGGGCCCCACCCCCCAGCGGAGGTGGGGTAGATTTCCCCACGGAGGGCCCTTCCCGCCCCCCAGGGCCCCTTGCCTCACTTGAAGCAGATTTCTTGTGGGGGGGGCACCCCAATGATGGGGTTTTGTTGTGGGGGGTCCGGGGCTGACGTCCAAGAAAGAGCTCTCCGGACATCTTCGGTGTAAAAAGGTGATTTCATTAAAGCACAGGGACAGGACCCGTGGGCAGGAAGGGCTGCCCTGGGGTTGTGACCGGTGACTGATTACATACCTTCGGGTTGGGAGGGGGTCAGGGACAGAGCGAGGCTGTAAGGAGCGCTGGAAGCAAGGTTTCCAGGACCTTGGGGACCCTGGGGGGCAGCTGTTGGGGCGGGATCGTGTACTACTGTTTAGTAAAACCGCTGTCACCAGACCCTTCAGATGCATATCGGGGCCATATCCTGGGAGTATGATTCCCTGCATATATCCTGGGGGTAGAGATAAAGGACGTTTCCAAAGGAATTTTTATGTGTGAGAGTAGACTTAGAGGATCCTGGGGGGTCAGGGTAAGATTGTCTCTTGCCCTGAGCAAAGTGTCCTCATTGAGGCAGCTGAGCTCCTACAGGAATGTCACTCTGCCCGTTTTGAGGACTTGGGCTGTGGGCTCGAAGGGAATTTAATTTTCTCTTTTGCCTTTGTTTCCCACACCGTCACCACCCGAGAGCTGGGGAGATCTGCTGGGCCAGCCTGAAGGGTCCTGACCCGGGCCCGGGGCAGGGACAGTGGGAAAGGATGACGCTGGCTCGTCCCCAGACTGTGTGAGTGAATCCACGGAGTGTCCAGGAACACGGAGACCCAGCTGGACCAGACGGGCCAGAGCCGCTGGGGTGCACCGGCCCCCGCCTCGAGGCCCCCCCCCCTCGCAGCCCCCCGCAGGGAAACAGGGAGGGGCCGAGCCAGAGGTGGGGAGGGGAGGCAGGCTCCCGCAGGGCTGGGGGAAGGGGCGGGCGGAGGGAGGGTGAAGCTGGCTACAGGGGGGGCAGGAAGGTCTGACCCAAGCTGGTGGCCCCCTGCGAACTCGGCTCCCCACTAGCACCCGGGACAGGGTGCAGCCCTAAGGCTGCTGAGGGAGGGAGGCTCCGCAGGCCCCCACCCGGGAGCAGGAAGCCCCCAGCAGGGGCTGCGCAACCCGCTGCAGGGCCCGGACTCGGTGGGACGCGGGGTCTGGCTGATCAGTGCCTCGCAGAGACGGGGCCAGGCCTTTTCCAAATAGGTGGTGGTGTCTTTCCAGGTACCCCGGGTGTAAGGGAGGCCCTGCCCTCTGTGTCTCCGTCTGCCGTCACAGACATCAGCCTCCGGTCCCCGACCCCAGCTCCGCCGCCGCCCGCTTCCCTATCTCCTTAACCTGGAGAATCATAAAAGATAAAAGAAAGTTTTCACTCTCAAGATCCTTAACTTGTCCGTTGTCCTGGGGTGGCCGTCATCTAGGTGAGGGGACTTGGCTGGGCTTCGTGACAAATCCTGTGACTGATTCCCACGTGTTACCCGGGAGCCCTTCTGAGTCTGCTTCCCCTCAGGGTTCCGCAGGCAGTCCCAGGGGCCCCGCCCAGCTGGCGCAAGGCCATTTGAGGGTCTTAGGTTGTGCCCCCCGGAAGCCTGCAGTCTGCTGTGTGAAGGAGCGTGGCCTGTGGCCCCCACACCCCTTCCCTTGCACTCCCTCCCACAAAACCCCCCCCACCCGCCGCAGTGCTGTTCCCTCCAACACAGCACTTCTAAGCCACAACACCAGTTCTCAAGCTGTGTTCCCATCCAAGTGTACTCGCCTGGGTATTCACCGAGCACCTAGTACTTGCCAGGCAGTACTGGATGTCACGGAGGAGTGGCAGGAGGGGAGAGGGCTCCCCGATATGGGCACTTGGACAGAGAAGCAGGGTGCAGCCCACAGAGGTCTGTAGCGGACTTCCTGTTCCGGGACTGGGAATGGCTGTGCAAAGGCCCTGGGGTGGTGGCATGTTAAAAGATGAGCAGAGCCTGTGGTCCGAGCCGCTGCTGTGAAACCACAACCACACTAGCGCTTCGGATTGTTCTGGATTGCTCTCTGAGAGAAGCGGGAGCCAGCCTGAGAGGGGTGTGCTGAGGCTCCACTGGGAGTGTGGGCCCAGAGAGGTAAGGCAGGGGTACAGAGCTGCACAGCAGCTGCCAGCCCCTTGGGCTGCTCTCCTCGCACGCTGAGCTCCCACTGCCAGACACGGCCTGGCCTCCAACCCAGCTACAGCCCCAGAGTGGCAAAGGCCTGCAGGGCCCAGCCCAAGGCTCCGGGGCTCTGCACACGTCCCCACAGGACTCCTAAGCAGGGACCTGAGCAGGAGGGGTCCCTAAGCCCCGGGGTGGGTGGGCAGCTCCAGGCGGGAGCCCAGGGCCACTGAGAGGCTGATGCTGGGGCCTGAGGAGGCCAGCACCTGCCAGTAGCATCGGAACAGCACCCACGGGCAGGCCACCAGGGCAGGCCGCCACACCGGGGCGGGGAGGGCACTTCTCTCTCCCACCGAGAAGGCCCAGCGCTAGAAAACGGCACCTTTTACGCTACCTGCACCCCACAGCCGCCTCCCCAGACTCAGCACCCCAAGCCAGGTTCCTGTTAGCTTCTCCCGGACCTGCCTGACCCCGCCCACACCTGGCTCCAGACCTTGGACAGGACCCGGAGGCTTCCAGCAGCAAATGTGCCCCTCCCCAAACTCAAAGGGCCATAACCCAAACCTCAGCAATCTCTGCCAGGAGAAAACTCCCCAGAGAGCGTGAGTGGGAAAGGTTCCCGTACACCCTGGGGGAGGCACAGCACCCGCAGCCCCTCCCCTGCTGGGCCCCCATGCCCTGGCTAGGAGAAGCCATCGCCCCAGGGCGCCTGCCAGCTGCCCTCAGCATCCCTGACCAGAGGCCTCCGAAGTACTCACCAGTGCTGGCTGTCTGGTCTCCGGGCTCCGCGAGCGGCCTGGGGAACCAAGGCTGGAAATCTAAATGTGCCTGACTGCGGGAGGCTGGGTCGCTCGTGGGGACGCCGCATGGTGTCCGCGCTGGAGTCTCTGGGCCTCTGCGCTGTGCGTACTCTCTGGCCGCTTCGCTCCCCGGCTCACCTGCTCATTCCTGCAGCGGTCGCGGCAGCGCCTTCTGGACCAGCCGGCCAGCGTGGGGACCCTGGAGCCAGCAGGCCTGTGGTGGGGCGGTGGGTGCCGGCCGGAGCGAGCTGCACTGGGGACCGGGCCCTCTGCAGGATGAAAAGGCACCGGTCATAGGGAGTGCCCCTGTGGGGGGCATCTCACCAAGGCTGCACCCACCTCCCTCTACCCGCTGGACCCTCCTCAGGACAGCATCTGCCCAACCAGAGGTAGGACGAACTAGAACAGGGAAAGAGAAAGCCATCTGTGCTGGTGCTGGTTGGGGGGGGCGGGGAGGGGGCTGACCCAGGAAAGGTACAGTCAGTTTGCAAAGCCCAGGGTTTTGTTTTTTTTTATATTTTTATTTATTTCTAGGAGAGAGAGAGACAGCGTGAGCAGGGGAGGGTCAGAGAGAGAGGGAGACACAGAATCTGAAGCAGTCTCCAAGCTCTGAGCTGGCAGTCAGCACAGAGCCCGACGCGGGGCTCGAACCCAGGAGCCGCGAGATCATGACCTAAGCGAAAGTCGGACGCTTAACCGACTAAGCCACCCAGGCGCCCCTGCAAAGCCCAGAGTTCTTGGCAGGCCCCAGAAAGGGCAGCGGGAGGAGAGGCAGAGGTATCCACACACACAGCAGACCGTCGGGCAGGTGGACACGTACCCGGCCGCCCCGGTGGGTGTCTGGTGTACACGGCGCAGGCTTCCAGAGTTCAGGATTGAAGGAGGGAGCGTGAGCGGGTCTATCACTGGCGGGCAGGGCTATTAGAAGAACCCTTCTGGCACCACTTTGGGCCCAGGGAACACCTGGCCAGTAGCTCCTGGGTATGCCAAGCCCCTGGATGTGGGGTCTCTTTCGGGAGGAATGGGTTTGAGGCCGTGGCCACACTTGCCCCACTGGGCTGCATACTGAGAGCAAGCATGGGAGACCAAGGGGATTGGAGGACCCAAAGGACTCCCCGGATGATACCATCCGCGCCGCACATACCCCTGGCTTGGCCACGTGTGTTCAGATTTGAGTCTGGCATTTTTCCAAGGACATTTGAGTCTATGGCTGACATATGGCAGTGACCTTGAGGGCATTTTGCGAATTGTTGTTCAAACTCACAAGAGCCCTCTGAATCCCAGGGCCCTGTCTTGAATGGGGCAGAGCCCACTTGTGCTTTCACCCACAAATACTTGCTGAGCACCCACCACGGGCCAGAGGCGGTCTGGGCGCTGGGCACACAAATTCCCCTGTCCTCAAGGGCTGACCTGCCGGAGGGAATCTACAGGGAAGTGGCTCATACCCAAATGATGGACAATGCCAGGATAAAAGGTATGTCTCTTGTGGGGACCAAGATTCATCCACTTCCCTTCCAGGAAGGTGGGCACGGGGCCCATGTGCCAAAGGAACTTCACACTCCCCCTTCCAGGAAAGCCCAAAGCTGAGACTGGTAAGAGCAAGGGGCTGCAAGGGGAAAGGATGAGGAGGCCCACCCAGGCGCGCATCCTGCGCTCCAGAGGTAAGATCCAGAGGGGTAACCAAGAGCTATGGCCTGCTGCCTGTTCCTGGGGAACATGGAACCCCACAGATGTCACCACTCCTTGGCTTTGTGACACACCCAAAGCCCCACCTTCAGCCTCCAAGGAAAGAGCCCCCAAAACCTTCCCAAACAGATCTATTCCACATCATTTGGATGTTACAGAAAACTAGGCAAGGTCTGACCCTGATCCTGAAACTGTGGGGGGAAACACACACACACACACACCCACTTGCACCCCACCCCGCAAACTCACATGGGGCCTAATGCACCTCCAGACCTCTCCCAAGTGCCCGGTCCCATCACGGGGTCCCTCCTCCATGCAGCTCCATCCCAGCCACTGTGCCCTGTGTCTCAGCTCCCACCCCCGACCTCCCCAGCTGTAAAGTTCAGGAGCCTTTTCTTCTGGGGCCCTCCCCGCCCCTGTCACCCAGGTGCCACCCAGAAAGGCTGAGAGAACAGGTCAGGTGCCATAGCGCCCCACTGGAAGTGTGCTGTAAATGTGTCAAGTATATTTCACAAACAAGCAAGTGGCAGAGACTCAGCAAACTGCAGCAGTTGCTTCAAGAAGAGGAAGAAACCGACGAAGCTGGAGAAGGGGAAGAGGCTGGCAGGTGGGCATCACCAGCTCCCCGTGGTCTGTGCTTGGCCTCCCATCCTGGCCAGTGGGAGCTGCCCCCGCCAGAGAGGGTGGTGCAGGTCCAGCCAGGGACTGTGCGTCCAGAGAACGCATGAAAGGCTTTGCCATCAGGCTAAGGATGCTGGCTTTATTCTTTTTTTTTTTTTTTTTAATTTTTAATGTTTTATTTATTTCTAGGAGAGAGAGAGAGAGAAAATGTGAGCAGGGGAGGGTCAGAGAGAGAGGGAGACACAGAATCTGAAGCAGCTCCAGGCTCTGAGCTGTCAGCACAGAGCCCGACGCGGGGCTCGAACCCACGAACCGCGATATCATGACCTGAGCCGAAGTCGGAGGCTTAACGACTGAGCCCCCCAGGCGCCCCGGATGCTGGTTTTATTCCAATGGGCCCCCAGGCTCTGCGCTGGGAGGTCAGATCAGGCTGGCTTTGTGAAAGGACCCCCTGGCTGCAGGGCGGGGCGGGGGGGCGCTGAGAGCTTCCTGCCTAAGTGTCTTGGCCCAGGTGGGCGCAGCCACAGAGGAAAAAGGGGTCCAGAACCAGCAAAGACGGACCGCCTGCCGGGGATATCTATGGCCCACAACCTCTGCCCCCTCCGACCTCCCCCTCCCAACACGGGAGAGCTAACGGCTCAGCCCCGAGGCGAGGCCGAGGACCACAGGGAGCCCGGAGCGGAGGGGGCTGCGTGCCAGGCGCAAGGTCCCCGGCTCCTCGCCGCCCTCAGCCGCCCCAGGGCCGGAAACGCTCCCACCGCACTTGGCCGCAGGGACGCGAGCGGTCCCCGGAGAGGGTCCGCCCCGCCCCCGCCCCGCCCACACACGCTCGCCTGGCGTCCCCCGCGGCCCAGCGAGGTCCAGCGCTCTGTGTGCGGACGAGAGGGGCCGGCCGGCGGGACCAGCCGCACCTCCCTGGGGCAGGGCTCGGAGTCCCGCGTGGGGGCGCGCTAGCCCCCCCCGCGCCCGGTTGCGGGAACTCTGACTCGGCCTTTGAGCGCGCGTCCCCCGCCCACCCCCAGAACGCCGCCTCCCACCCCAGCCCGGGGGATCGCCTATACCGCCCCCGCGCGTCCCCAGCCCGCAGGTACGCTCACCCCGCGCGCCCCGCGCGCCCCCCGCGCGGCCCCCGCCCACCTGGCCTCCGACCTGGCTCCCCGCGCCCGCGGCAACGCTGACTCCGCCCCTCGCGCGCCCGCAGGAACGTCGGCTCCGCCCCCCGCGTGCCCCCAGCCCGCCGGAGAGATAACCCCGCCCCCCGCGTGCACCCCCCGCCCGATGGAGCGGCGGCTCCGCCCCCTGCCCGCCTCTGCGCCCCCCGCCCGCCCCTGCGCCGCCCGCCGGCGGGAGCACCGACTCCGCCTGCCGTACCCGCCCGCTCGGCTGCCGGGAGTCCGGGGCTGTCGTGCGATTGGGCGCCAGGCTCGGGCAGCTCGGCGAGGCCGTGGACCTGCGTCTGCCCCGCGTGAGTCGGCGGGGCCCGGAACCTGGCGGGGAAGCAGGGGCGACCCCTTCGGCGCCCCGCGGAGCGTAAGGGGAGCGAGCAGGGTGCCGGGAGAGGCGCCGGAGGGTCTGGGGGAGGCCGGGAGTCGGGGCTCAGGGGTGGGCCCGGTGCCGGGGGGCTGAGCCTCTACTCCCATCCCCCAGCCCTCCCGAGATCTCCCAAGATCGGGGCTGGAGCGGGCGCAGACCGCCGCGCGGCGCCCTCCCTGGCCGGGTGACCCAGAGCCGCGCAGGCAGGGGGCCCATCGGCGCTCCGGAGGGGACTGGGGAGGGGCCGCCTTCCGGACTCGAAAAGGGGGCTGGGGTCCTGGCGGGCCGGCGGGATGGGGAGGATTCACTGCGCGCTCCCGGGTGGCCCATCCCGGGGACTGGAGCCACCCAGGGAAGGAGTGAAAGCTGCTTGTTTGCCAAAGATTATGCAAGCGTGTGAGGTGCTAGGAGCCTCCACCCCCAAGGCCCCCCCATCCCCCGCGCCGACCCACCTGGCCCCTTCCCGTCTCTGGGCGCGAGGACTAGCTCCTCCTTCGCTGTTGGCCCCCAGTCACTGGTTGCCTGGGTTTGTCAGAAATCAGCCCCTGAGCCTGGGGGAGGAGTGGGCAGTCTGGGTCGCGGGGGTCCCAGACGGCGCTGCCCGGAAGCCCACTGGTTACCCTCGGGGCTCCCTCCGCCCAGCCCTGCTCATGTCCATCCACTCCAGCCGGCGCGTCGACTCAGCCGGGTGGGGCCTTTTTCGTTGGGTGGCTGGCGGTGGACAGTGGTGGCTGTACATTCCAGAGCTTCCTTGGGAGCAGCTCAGGGCTTCTCCAGGCCCGGACCGTACTCTGTAGAAGGGGAAACTGAGGCTCCCACCTCCTTGCACTGCCTGGGCCTGGGGTCGAGCCCTCACTGGGCTCGGCACAGTTTCCGCACATCTGCAGCTCCTTCCGGGGACCCTAGGATGTCAGCCCAGACCCAGGACTGGGTTGTACTCTCCTCTCCCTGGGATTCTTCCTCCCAGAGCCTGGGAACTAGCTCCCCAGGCCTCGAGTGCCCATCCCCCACGCATCGCTGTCCCCAGCAGAAGGCACCAGACGGCTCCTCCCACACCTTGCCTCCTGCATCGCGGAGAGCCCCAACGCCAGCTGGTCACCTTCGTGCGCTTTCCCCACCCACCTCCTGGGGTAGGGCACCAGGCAGCCCCCACACACTCCTGTCTACCTAGCTGAGACTCCTGCGCCCCCTTTTCAGGCATGAAATGGGGGACTACCCCATAGTCAGGGCTCTCTGTCGTCAGCATTGAAACATACAGAATGGACGCAGCCCTGGCGCCCTCAGCACAGAAGCGGCCGGAGGTGGGGGCTCAGCTAGGTGTGCCTCATGCACCCACCCAGCCCCCGGGTCCTCATGCCAGGAATGGAGCTGGCTCATGGAAAGTTCTGGATGCAGCCTAGCTGATATTGCTGGTCACTATGCCCTCTTCTCCAGGACCACGAGCAGGGCCCACTCTTCTGGCCTCCCTTTCTGTTCGGTCCTGAGCCCAGTGAGCTCCCTGAGCCGGCCCCAGCTGCAGGCAGCACAGGCTGGGGAGGGGTCCCAACCAGGAGCAGTGTGGACCGAGTGAGGAGTAGGTCAGGAGTGGAGCCGAACGAGCCTCTGTGTGCTGGCTCTGCTGCTGGGGGCTGGCAGGCCCACCTGCCACATGTACATGGGGGGGGGGGGGCAGCCGGCTCCAGGCCTGGTGGCTCCGGCTCCGCTGGAAGGAGAGAGGCGTGAGGCAGGCAAGCCCCGTCCTCCAACGAGGCATGTCTCCAAGCAGGGCCAGTTTCTTTGACTTTGTGAGACTGCGGACAGGACCCCTGTCTCCTCTAGAATGAAGGTCTTCCTGCCGGTGCTGCTGGCTGCCCTTCTGGGTGTGGAGCGAGGTGAGATGCCCTTGGGGCCCCAGGCCCGTGGGTGAGCTGGGCCTTCCTCCCGGACTCTCTGTCCACCTCCTGTCCTGAGCGGTGCCCAGGGGTCCTCGGGCCGGTTCCCGTGGGACCTACTCTAGAAGGCCGAGCGGGCCCTCTCCCCCAGGACAGCGGGTTGGTCCTGCTTCCTGCTGCCCCCGGAGGCCCGAGTTCTGCCCCGGACACAGTTACCGTCACTGTGCGTTTGGACGGCCCTGCAGTTCCTTCAGGCCCAGGGTCTCCAGGCGCTCGTTGTCTTTCTGGGTCTCCAGCTGGAGCCAGAACGTGGTACCTGCTCGGTTAACACGTGCAAATGATTGGGTGTTGGTGTTGGCTCAGGCCTGGAAGGGGGTGTCACCGGAAGGTTCCCCAGCCCGAGACAGGTGTGACCTGCAGCGTGTCCCCTTCTTCTGCAGCTCACTCCCTGGTGTGCTTCTCTTGCACGAATCAGAACAGTAATTTCTACTGCCTGAAACCCACCATCTGCTCGGACTCCGACAACTACTGCGTGACGGTGTCTGCGTCCGCCGGCATCGGTGAGTGACGGTCCCTGCCTCTGCCGGGATCGGGGCATCGGTGAGCGCCGGTGTCTGCCTCTGCCGCCCTCTGCCCTTGCCCTCACGGCTTGGTCTTCCTGCCTAGGGAAACTGGTGGACTTCGGCCATACCCTGAACAAGGGCTGCTCCCCGATCTGCCCCAGCCCCAGCATTAACCTCGGCGTGGCGTCTGTGGGCACCTACTGCTGCCAGAACTTCCTGTGCAACATCAGCACGGCCGGCGGGGGGCTGCGGGCCAGCGCCGCCGTGTTGGGCCTCGGGCTGCTGCTCAGCCTGCTGTCGGCCCTGCAGCGGCTGGGGCCCTGAGTGCCAGGCCCTACAGCCAGCCCAGACTCCTCCCCTCCCCCTGCCCCCAGGAAGGAAGGCCCGGCCCTTCTTCCTTTGACTTGTCACCCTGCTGGATCACAGCCCTTCCGCCCTCAGTCTCTGCCGTTGGGTCCCTGCCCTTGCACCTGCCCTACGAGGGGCCGGCTGCCCTCATTTCTCAGGCAGTGACGTGACTTTCCTCGGGGAACCTGGGAAGAGTTGAGGGCTGGAGCCTGAGGGCCCCAGAGTCAGAACTGAGTCCCAGGGACACACTGGGAGGGACGTGTAAGCCCCAGGCTCTGCCCCGTCCAGGCTCTGTCTGCCCCCAGGTGGCGTGGAAGATGTGTTCTCTGCCACCGTGTCCCAGAAGGGCGCGCGTGCTGTTGTTGCGGGTGACTGTGCACACTCAGCAGTGTGGACAGGTGTGCCGGGGTGCCCCTGCGGCATGTGTGCGAGTGTGTGGCCGTGTCCGGGCCCACGTGTGTGCAGGCTAAGTGCCAGGGGTCCTGCGTTAGCAGCAGCCAAGCTCCCCGAGTCCACGCCAAAACTTCTTTTCTCTGGCATTCCTGCGCCCCACGTTCACTCCCTTTAAGAGTAGCCTTTTGAAAGGCGGGGCTCCAGGTCGTCTGGGTGTGGCTGCCGGTCGGGAATCAGTTCCCACCCCCACCCCACCGCCAGCAGCGGCCCCGCCCCCTCCCTCCACCCCGCACTGGAGTCCGCCTGCTGCCTTGGTGCCTCAAATAAACGTGTGTTCCCCCCCCTTCCTGCTCTGGGTGTGACTACTTCCGGCTGCTTGTCTGGGAGTCCCCCTCCCAGCAGGGTCCTAGTGTGGGGGGCTCCCTGTCGTACAGCCCCACCCTGAGGCACGCTGCAGGGAGAGAGGCCCCCCAAGTTCACAGCCAGCTGCCCTCAAGGCCAAGAAGGGAACGTCCACCCGTGTCCTCCACTTCTTCCTGTGCTGGGCGAGGCAGGGCCACGTGGGAAGTTCATCCTCTGGCGGGACAGGAAGCAGGGAGGGAGGTCAGTCTCCTGCAGGGAGGGGGGCAGCACCCTCCAGGGCAGGAAGGGGTCTGGACGGGGAAGGCGAGGGCCCGTACGAGAATGCACGTGGGGTGGGCGCCGGCGCCTGGGGCTCTGCCCTTGGGAACAGGATAGCAGGGCCGGTCGGGTGGAGGTGGGCAGGCAGGGGCGCAGCGAGTGGGTGGCGAGCCGCCTGCCTCCATGGCCTGTGGCAGGAGCAGGCGGGGCTCCCCGGAGAAGGTGTGGGCCCTGCTCCCCAAGGCCCGGGCCACCCCTGCTGCCGGGAAGGGTCTGTGGTCCCAGCTTGGGGCCTCTTTGATTGGGGGGGGGGGCAGGAAATAAGGATGAAGGTGCCCTGAAGCCAGGTGCTCTACGGAGTCTCTTCATTTCTTCCTCAGGACACCCCTGAGGCAGGTCCCAGGCCACCCGATGTGGGCGGGCCAGCCCAGGCCTGAGGACCCAGAGGGGCCCGAGGGACCAGCTGAGAGGGTCCTCAGTTTCCTGCAGGATAGAAGTCAAACGGGAGGTGGGAGGAAGAGAGTGGAGTTTACTGAGCACAGGACGGATCGGGCGTCCGGGGACTCGGGAGGGAGAGGGGGCCTCCTCCTCACATCTCACATGGGGCGAGTGTGGGTCCGCGAACCCTGAAGGTGGGGGTACCTACGGCTGGCGTTGCCCAGGTCTGCTCCGTGCTGATGTCCCAGGACGTGTTGGGGTCCTGTGCTTCCAGACGTTGTCAGGTGTTGGGCTAGGATGAAACTGGGAAATGATTCATTTTCCTGCTTCCCCTTTACAGTGGGAACATGGCTGCTTTGCTCAGATGCATGAGTGACGCAGACAGAGCCTTTCTCACAGGGAGCCCCTCACTCTCCTGCCCCCACTCACCTCCCGACCCGGGCTGTCCGAGGCTGGCCAGAGTCCGAGGAGCAGCGTCCCGCAGGATGGGATGATGGTCAGTGTGGGGGCTCAGGATTCTGGCCCATGTCCAGGGATCCCTGAGGTCGGACACGGGCACTGAAACGCACAAACGTGTCCTCATCCTCATGGCCACCAAAGGGGACAGCCAGTCTACACGCACAGCCAAGTGGTAACGTGGTGACTGCCCCCACGGAAGGGACAGCCCCAGACAAGTGGGGCAACAAGAGGAAGGAGACCCGGGACCAAACAGTGCCTTGAGGAAGGATCTAGAAGGCCATCAGAGCAGCCTGGTTGAGACTGAGTGGGCAGGGAGCATGTGATTTACCTGAATGGGTCAGACTAGCACTAAAAATAAAAGAAGGGGGTGTGTGACTGGCTCTACCAGTAGAGCACGTGACTCTTGATCTCGAGGTAGTGAGTTCAAGCCCCATGTTGGCCATAGAGATTACTTAAAAAGTAAAAAATTAGGGGGCGCCTGGGTGGCTTAGTCGGTTAAGTGTCTGACTTTCGCTTAGGTCATGATCTCGCGGTTCGTGGGTTCGAGCCCCGCGTCGGGCTCTGTGCTGACTGCCGGCTCAGAGCCTGGAGCCTGTTTCAATCTGTGACTCCCTCTCTCTCTGACCCTCCCCTGCTCACGCTGTCTCTCTCTCTCTCTCCTAGAAATAAATAAAACATTAAAAAAAAAAAGTAAAAAAAAAAAGTAAAAAATTAGGGGCCCCTGGGTGGTTCGGTTGGTTAAGCAACCGACTGCAGCTCAGGTCATGATCTCACGGTTTGTGAGTTTGAGCCCTGCGTTGGGCTCTGTGCTGACAGCTGGGAGTGTGGAGCTGCTTCGATTCTGTGTCTCCCTCTCTCTGCCCCTCCCCTGCTTGTGCTCTGTCTCTGTCTCTCAAAAAATGAATAAATGTTAAAATTTTTTTAATAAAATAAAAATTAAAATTAAAAAAGAAAAAGAGTTCAAGGAGCTTGAAATCAGAACGTCCCCCCAGAAACACTGGCAACTGTTGTCACAGAGGACGGCTGCCCGCGGAGCTTGGAGTCCCAGGTAGAATGCATTCACCTGTTGCTCACTCAGCAGTCGGTCAGGCCATCCGGCTGGAGCAGCTGGACGCTGAGTTGGGACAGGTGGGCAGTGGTGGGGCCGGCAAGACAGAGCTGCACAAGTGGACTTGAAATTTGAAGGCCATGGTCAGGAATTTGGACTGGACACTGGGGGCAGTGGGGGCTATCGGTACCCGCCACTCCCTTCCTGGTAAGAGGAACCCAGGCTTCCCTCTCTGGCACCTGCTGTGCGCCAGGCAACACTCATCTGAATGACCCTGCTTGCGCCAGCGCCCACAGACCGCCATGGTCATCCCGTTTCCAGAAGTGGAGACCGAGGCTGGGCGATGAAGCCACTTGCCCTCCTGGGTGGGTGGCCCTCAAGCCCAGTGCTCCTTCTGCTCTGGGTCGAGGGCCAAGGCCTTGCAGGGCTGGGGTCAGAGGCTGGTGGCCCCCTGGTCCCTGCTGCCCTGCCTGGAGCGGGGGAGGCTGGTGGGGGACAGGCTGGGTGTGGGAGCAGAGGGAGGCTGGGTGGGGCTGGGTGAGGAGGGGGGGAGGGGGTGGG